AGTTCATATCACACAAAAGGGAAAAGATAAAAAGGCACTTCAGTCCATCACAGCACACTGCACTGCACTCTCAAGCCATCACTGGCACCTTGGAGAGAGGCTGGCTGAGCGAGGGGGGCAGGCAGACATTTTCTGTCAAACCCTTCCTCAGGACTAGTCTGGTACTGTGGGCTTCTTCTGATCCTCTGCTGGGACACTGGTCAGCTGGCAGCAGAGAGCAACCATGGCAGTGGTTATAATCAGAACATGGAAGAACTGCGATATCACTGTATCATATGTGGGGATGAGATCAAGCATTGGGGGTACAGAAATGTGGAATAATCACTGTTAAAATTAGAGCTGCAAAGCCTATATTATTAAAGTCTAGGAGAATAAAAAAGAAAACAAATCACACCCATGATATGAGATTACAAACATCCACAAATGAAGAAAGCAGGGTGACAGGGGTTCAATTCAGACAGCTAGAGCAGCGATATGCCTGGCGAGTGAAGTGGAGAAAAAGTCAGTGTGAGTAGCCTGATCACAAAACTAGGCAACAGTGGCATGTAACGAACAAGCATAAGCAAATGAAGGCAACCCCCACCCAATCTACACTTTGCTGTCACTGTGCTATTGAGCTGCTTACAAAGAGGCATTCACTCTCACACAGCCTTCAAACACGAGCATACAGTAATGCTATGGGGCATATGTGCTGCCTTCTCCGTAGCCTTGTAACAGTAAAATAAATGTAAATGTCAGTTTAAAGGGGTTAAAGAGAAACAAAAGCACCGCTATATTACATCTCTGGTGTGTGCAGAAAGCTGGAGATGTCAGCTGTAATTATAGTTTTTATGTAAAGAGAGAAAAGGGGTGGGGGACCACAGTAAGTAAGGGACAGCAGCGCAATTCACAGGGCCACCGAGATGCCAAGTGGATTGTGGGACAGCGGCAGGGGAACGTGAATGATGGCCAGAAGATCACAGGTCAGCTGGTTTTGTGCTGACGGCCAGTTGGTGTGTTTGACAGTGTCCACTCTGCGGACAGCAGGGTGAGACGCTCACCAGAAAACATTTCATGCCTGTATACGTGACTAATACAGGCTGGAGCATTTATCATTAATTAACACCACATAATGAGCTAATGTGAAAAGCCTGGGCCACATCACATGGCGCAGTGAAATATTTCTACACAAATGACCTTCAGCGCATGACTCGCTGCAACAAAGTGTGAAAACTGAAGGGACTGGACTGGGTGGGGGAACCAAACAGTAACTTCCAATACTCTGACCAGGTCTTGATACAACCCCCCCCACCCCCCTTT